TACACACTATCATTTACAGACTTGTATTTTCATTCACCTTCAGTGTGGACCCTTACCTGTTAGACAGCCCAAGCTATCTAACCTATCCAGCTGTTACAGGGAGGGTATCTGGCATAAGACTTTTCAAGGCAGCTGGGATTTACAGCCACTTTGAACTACTGTTGGATGGTGCAAAGGCCAAGATGTCCAGTGTTTAGGAATACCACTGCACTGAGCCTAGTTGGGCTAGGATTTGTTGCTTCTTTGAGAAGCAAAGCAGGCACAGCCAGAAAGGTCTCTTCACTCAAGCTTCTATTTACATTCCAGAAAGTCGAGTCTCAAGTTCATCAATCGTGTACAATCAGTATTTGGCTAGTGGGTGGAGGTAACTGAAGGTAGCTGGTGACAAAGTGGGAGAGGTGGCTGAATTGTTTGCCAGGAAAAAGCTGAAAAGTTTCAACAACAACAACAACAAAGTTTTAAAGAAGAAAGATCAGAATGAGTGAGAATAAAGGTCAATACTAAGAAGGGGAACAGCAAGGGAATGTCTATTTTAAGGAGACCACAGCATGAAAGAAAGCATAGAAACATGCACAGTTCTCTTTAGAGAACAGAGCAGAAAGAAAAGATGCTGCTTGCAATTAAATCAGCACTCCATCTAGGGAGAAGAACAAAATTTAGAAGTTTGCAAGGAATACAGCTAATAGATCACCTGGGCATGTGCTAAAAAAGAGATTACAGGATAGTAAAGTGGAATTCCCGATGGAAGTAATTATAATTTCAGCTTTTCATATGGTGTGCAGATTTACCCAAAGTCCAAAGAAGGATACTTACGTTAATTCTTATCAAGCCCACCTTCCTCCCCCAGCATTTTATACCGCTTTCTTCCCCAGCCACCTTCAAACACAACTGTTGGTAGTCAGAGCAGCTTAAATTCTGTTACCAAAAGCAGAGAGCTGTATATGAAGAAATACAATACCAATACCCATGGCTCTCCTGTAGATTTTGTTACCAGTAAGTGCTAGCTTACAGAAAAAAGTCCTTCGTAGGTTTCTCTCAGATGGGGCCCGTGACAAGTTCCTAAGACTATTGAACCCATAATTAGCAGCCTCACAGTGGTTGTTGAGATGCGTATACAGACCACAGACACAAGCTCTGAAGAGGGGACTGATCCTGCAGCCGTGAAATCAAAAGACTCCTAAGTACTAATACTTTGCTTTACCATCAGATGATAGCTGAAGTCACAGCTCTCCATGCATGCTAGCTCCCAATCTGGTACAAAACCTATAGCTAATCACCCTATCATGCCACTGTGCAGGCAGTGCTTATAAATGACCACCCCAGAACAGAACCAAATTCTGGTCTTTAACGCAGACAGAAGTTCAAGTGAAGACTATAAATCCCACTTGAACGTTTACAGAAACTATAAGTAGGCAAGCAGAATATCTACACCATAAAATTCTTGGGAACCTTCCTCATATTAAATATATTTGAACTGTTTCTTTTTCTATTGACATGAATTGGTAAGTATTGAAGCAGAAATCTTACTTCACAAATGGATCCATGCTCACCTGTAAAGACTATTGGAGATAGCCACTGCCTAAGGAAGATGAACTATCTGTATTTTAAGAAAGGTGGATCAGAGATGGAAGAAATCGCCCCTTTAAAAAAGTGAATGAAAATTCCCATCTGCCACTCAACTCTGATTTCCACTACTCGCACTCAGACAATAAAACCTTCTATTTCTTTTAAGACAGATTCTAGCTAGCCCTTGCCTTTCCATATAGGCAACAGAAGCTGATCCAAAGCTTGATGAGACTAGAAGAAATTTCAAGGTGCTCTGCACTACACTCTGTTCAGATGGGCCAGAACCTGGCTATCAACCAATTCGACTTGTACTCATGCATACACAAGTCAGCTATTAACCCCAGAAGTTCTTAAAGCACCTATAATTTCTCAAGTACCATGTCCTAGTGCTGAAGCCTAATCACATATTTGGATGTTACAGATAATAATTTAAGGACAGACACAAGGCATATCGTCAGTTGCTACCTCAAAAAAACAGCAAACCCTAACAGTGGTCTCAAACTTGAATTACTTATATGGTCTCAAGATGAACAGGTCAATCACTTGTCAGAATGTTAGTATACAAGCACGGGGTTTTTTGGTTTTTTTGTTTGTTTGTTTGTTTTGTGGGTTTTTTGTGTTTTTGTTTTTTTGTGGTTTTTTGTTTGTTTGTTTGTTTTAAAGACATTTTTTCTGAAGCTAAAAATGCATTTGCAAATATGGTAATAATTTCGAGATTATTTCAAGATCTGAAAGGATTATATAAGCTACGCTTTAATTTGGCTTCAGAAGTTCCCTATGAGATGAACAAATGCTTCAAGACTGCAACACGTAACACAGTTTGATTAAGGCCAACCATCAAGTCAGTGGTAGAGCTGAGTTCTGCAGCATGGTATTCTGCTGTCAGCCTCAAACTTCCTTTTTCTACTAGCAAAATATATTGTGGTAGTATAACCTTCCCTCTTCTGTGGAATAGAAATAATTGTACTATTTGTAAATCTTCATACTGGCAAGTTAAACATACATATAAATTCTACTAAATTAAATTTTAAAGCAAGACTGTTTGGTTAGATCATGTAAATAGAATGCTGTAAGACTTGCTGAGTTCTGAGAACTGAAACCACAGACAGCCAAAATACAGCTGCACACAGTCAGATATGGTGTGTCTGCTAATATTGGAAACTTTATCATGCAGCAGCAAATTTAACTTCTGATTAGTACATGCACAGAAGAAATATAGGCTGAATGTACTGGAACAAAAACAAAAACCACTCCAAGGTCATAAGTTAAGAAAGCCAAGGATACTCAGTTATTTTATGGAGTACTTGACAGTATTTATTAGTTGTACTACTAGGGCATCTAAGAGCCCCAAGCATGGGCCAAGGCTCAGCTATGCTCATCCTTGTAAAAATACAAAAACCAAAAGATAAACCATAAATTGTTGTAGGCCATAGCTCAGGGGTCATACAAAAGCAGGGTACTGTCAAGTGTCAAACCTCCTGACTTTTAGTGATGTACATCTAAAGCCCAGAGCTCAGTTCCTTGGGTAGATGTTAAGTTGGTGCTAGATTTACCTGCTGAACAGCAGGCCACCTGGAGTTGGATGACTTCAACTGCTCAGACCAAGGATGTGGCTGAACTCCAACTCTTCCTGGCACTTCAGGTATTTAAACCAAGACTGGAAGGGAGACACATCTGTCAATTAATGAGACAGATTTTGGAGCCTAGATTCAGTAAAGCCAGAGGGATTCAGAGGTATGCATTCAGCATCCTTCCTCAGACACTGGAACAGTATGCAAGAAACACCCTGAGATACATGGAACAAGAAAGATACACACTTGCTTCAAGCTGGGGACACCCTTCTGCAGCTTAATGGTTAAAGCATCAAGGAAGAGAGTCACAGGTTCCAATGTGGGCTTTTAAAGTTGTTTCTAGTTTTATTACATAACTTAGATGTAAAAATATACAAATGATGCATTAAATAAAATCACATTGCCCAAATGAGTACCTTAACTAACAAGCTATGAAGTTGGCTTAACTCTTGCCTATTTTCATTCTGGTCTTGCAACTCTTGCATCGTGAATGTGAACACAAGGCAGAATTTCTCGTGCCAACTTCTTTCAGGTGCTTTCGAGTTAAGGCAATTAGGGCTTGCAGTGTTTGTGTTTTCTGTTAAAAGTGTTGGAATAAATATTTATTTTCAGGACCCAGTTCTTTCTTTGGATCTGACTGTAAGTGTTGCAGGCTGGAACAGTGACATAGAATATGTTGTGTAAGTTACATACATCAACTTCTAAAAAAACATAGCTGCCTTTCAGATTTATTTATATTTTTCTAGAGTTGTAATGATAGTGAAAGGAGCTTGTCTGCTTTTCACAGAACATATTGCTATGTTTAAGAAGCGCTCTTACAAATTCTCAATCTGGCACCTCAAATAAAACAATGAGTCACGAGTCCCTTGAACCCCAAAGTTGTTCATGTTTCCATTTACTTCTTCAGCCCACTAAAATGCCAGGATGTTATTCTCAGCCAGTTTCTCATAACTTAAGTATTAACAGCTTATGAGCTAAGCAGCAGGCAGTGGTACTGTTATATCACTGCTTTCAATTTCAGGCTGCCTTGCTTAAAAATGCACCCTAACTTTTCTGCCTTCCTGCGGGTCCGCAGCGGAGCCAGCCCTCCCGGGCAGCGCGGCACCGAGCTGTACCGCACCGCCACTCACCCCAGCACCCCCAAAACCCAGAGCAGGCACAGGCTCCGCACACCCACGGCGCGATCCCCGCGGCGGAAACCCTGGGGCTGTCCGTCACCTGGAGCGTTTTTTATCCGTATCGGGAATTTAATTGTTCCCAGTCCTGTAGAAGTACTCAAAACACGAGGTGTGCCGCGACGCCCAGCAACGGGCACGTCTGGCACCACCCGCCTGCCCTCGAGCACCACGACGCCCTGGGGGGCGATACGGGGTCGGTCCCGCCCCGCGGGGAGCACGGCAGGGGATGCCCGTCAGCAGGGCGCGGTGGTCTTTGAACACCCTCGCCCACTCAAACCCCGAGGCGGGAGCTCTCGGTAACGCGCCGGCTGCGGAGGCGGGGGGCGCGGGTGCGCCCCTGCCCAAGCCAGGAGGTATGCTGCTCCCCGGGAGAGGGAGCCGGGTGCGGGGCTTCCCTCGCCACACACAAAGACACGGCAGAGCGGCGGGGAGGCGAGCCGGGCCCCGCCGTGCCTCCCCTGTCCCGGCTTCTCCCCTCGGCGCCGCCTGAGGGACACCCGACCCTGGGCAGGAGCATCGCCGCCTCCCGGGGGACCGCCCGCCCGGGGCTCGGGACGCACCGCGGCGCCTGCCGCGGGGCCGGGGGCGCTCGGGGCGGGCGGGACGGCGAGGCGCTCTGCGCACAGGTAGCTCCCTGCTAAAATGGAGGGAGCGGAGAAATGCGGCGCTCGCCGGAGAAACTTACCGGAGGAAACCGACGAGCCGGACAAACTGGAGTTGCTGGATGCGGCCATGGTCCCTCCTCCTCGCCCCTTAGCTGCGAGCCCCGCGTCTGCCCCCGCTGCTGTCCGGCCGCCGCTGCCGCCTGCCCATCGCAAAGTGCCGGAGCCGCTCCGCGCTGCCGCCGCAGCCCGCGCTCGGCCCCCCGCGCCGCCGGGGAGCAGGAGGCGGCCGTGACCCGCTCTCCGGGGCTGGGCGAAGCCGCTCGGCAGGTCACGGAAAGGGCCCTGCGGCGCTTCCAGCGCCTCTCTCCGCCCTGGGGAGTAGGGCTTACCTTGTGACGGGGATGGGAGAGCCGCCCTGCCAGCGCCTTCCCTCGCCTCCTCCCTTCCCTTCCCGTCCCTTCCCTTCCCCGCCTCCTCGCGGGCAGCGCTGACAGCCCGCCGGGGGAACCCGCCGCAGCTCCCCTCACGCACACAAAGGAAGCGGCGGCGCTGCCGGCCGGGCTGCTCGCCCCGGCTGAGCGGGCAGGGTGGGTCCCGGCCGGCCGATCCCCGGCAGCGCGGCAGCCCCGCCGAGCGGCGACCAAGCCCCTTCCCGGCCGCCGCCGCCTGGCACGGGGCTGGCGGCGAGCGCGGCTCCTGCCATGTGCCGGCGCCCGTCCCGGCGGGGCGGCAGCGCCTGTTGAGCGCCTCAGCCCGGCGCCCCCTCGGCCGTGCCGCAGTGTGGGCTCCGCGCCCCCCGCCCTGCCGGCGCTCGCCCCCACCGCCCTTTGTCCGCCTCCTTCCCCCGCGGGCTGCCCTCCGCTCCCGCTGTTCTCCCCCTCCCGCCTGCCACGCTCCCACTCTCACTTTTTTCCTTTTTATTCTATTTTGTTTGTTTGTTTTGTTTTGTTTTGCTTTTTTCCTCCCTCCTGGCATCCGTTTTCTTAAAAAAACACAGAAATCAGGCCGACACCAACACCGGATTTTCCCTGCCAGGTGCATGGCGGGTGCAGCGGGGTCCCGTCCCGGCCACAATTAAGATCTGTCCCTCCACCTACTCTCGGAGCACTCCCGGTCCTGGCGGCTCTGGGGGGGGCACGGGGGCGGCTGCCAGGCATCCAACGGGGCTATGATGCGTCTGTGGCCAGCCAGCCTGGGCCGCTGCCCTGTGTCTTAGTGTGCAAGGGGGAAAGAGGAAGAGCCAAGAAAGCATCGCTTGGAGGCTTCCTCCTGCCCTTCACGTTCCCTTTGCGGTGCTTTATCGCCAGACAAAGCTTCCATCTCAATTTATAAAATAAGGCTGGGAAGACGACAGGAAGGTGGGCACACGAGTGGCATGGCACAGTCTCGCTGGCACGGGATCTGTAAGAAACTTACAACCTGTTTGCCATGACGCTGATTTATGAAAGCCTTCCATGTTTCGTAACAGGGAGTCTGTAAGACAAAGTTACTTCGAGAGTGAGGAAGCGCATTAAAGTCCCTTTGGCAATGGAAGCCTTACCCACCCAGCTACACCGCGTCTCAGGAGAGCGTGCAAACCGCCTGCCCACTCTGTAACCCGCGCCCAGCCGCTTCCCGTTTCTCCCGCAGCCAAAATCCAGTCCGGGCTCCTAAACCCTGCAGTCGATTCCCATTTTTATCTCGGGAAAACAGGTCCCGAGACCCCCTCTAGCGGCGGAGACACCAGCGGCAGCGATCGGCAGCGGGGCGCCGGGTCCCGCACCCCCCGCGGGGTTCCTGAAGGGAGCGGTGGGAACGCGGCTGAAACCAGCTTGCTTTTCCAGGTTTTATTTTGTAATGACAGCTTGCTCCGTGTGAGAAGGAACGAGCTTTAAACCAACTCCTATTAATCTGTAAATTGCCACGTACAGACATAAAAACAGCACAGGCGTGTCACTGCTTTTTGGTCTTTGGCCAAATACTTCGTGTCATGCGTTTTGAAGATTGAATGTTGAGGACTACATGAGAAAGGTGGATAGGTCATAAAAACAAGCTGATACTTGGGATGTAGGAGAATATTGTCATAATAAAGTAAACGTCAAGATTGTTCTGGTAAATTGTTCACTCCCAGTGTTTGTGATGTTTCGAACAGCTGAATAGGATTCGCTCGTCTATATGGTCGTTTTTCCTGCTCCTCCTGCTATATATTTCCTTCTAGTATTTGCCTCCTTGTAGTCTGTTATGTCTTCATTTCCCCCTCCATAGTGTAACTCTGTCTAGCCCTCCAACAACTGTCAGAAATGTGTCCCATATGACTGGTGAAATATGGTGGTGTTAACACCACCAGTGGAATCTGCAGGAGAAGGGGCAAATAACCTAGAAGAGAGAGAAAACTTCCTCACTCTGCTGAGACTTTGCAGACAGAAAGAACGTTCATAATTAATTTTAAATTTTCTTTCCATCCATAAATCTGGATAAATCAAGAGAGGAATTTCTTCAAAGAGTGACTAATCCAAGTATTCCAATAATTGCAAATGGAGTATTTTCTGTCTAAAGCCCATGAGCCTGTACATGTCTGGTAGAGAATGTGTATACCTCTGAAGGACAGGCAACTGTTGATAATCTTAGTGATAACTGAAGGTACAAGGTTGTGTAACCTCAATTTCTACAAGACTGAAAGGTAAATTAATAAATTTAAGTGAAATGTACTGTAGATTAAAAGAAACTTTCACATTTCAAGACAGATGGCCTTTTTCTTTTTAGGAGCAAAGAACATAAACCCCATGAAATTAGAGGGGAAATTACTAGATCAAAGGGGAAGCAAATTTAAAGAACACAAAAGTAGCCTTGTTATGTGTAAAAAGTGCAAAGTACAAGACATTCCAATATAATCTCAGTTCTATTTTGCAGAAGATGTGAACAAATTCTGTCCTAGTCTAATTTGTGCAGAGCCCAGATTTATCCATTACAAGTGGTACAAATACTCAGATATAAAGAATAAACTTTGTTGTAAACTAGATACTGTGATGTAAACTATTCCTGGGATTTCCACAAGTGTATGCTTCATATAAATCTGATAAAAACCTTTCACTTTACCTTTCCTGTAGAAATAAATGTAGTCTGCTTCCATGATATCTGCACTTTGATAAGTCCCAGCTTCCAAAAGTTTTGAGGAACTCAGAAAAATGACATTTTCCTATGTATGACCTTAGGAACACTGCATTTGACATTAACAGTGACTTGCAAAGGAAAAACACCGTACTGTTTGCTTTGCATTACTCATGAGAAAGATCTGAAAGTTGTTTGGTTTTTATTCCTGGGAAAGATTCCTTGAAGATTTCCTTGCTTCTGTATTGGTTCTATGCACTTTTTACTGACAAGAATTTCAATGTTTGGTTTTTTGGGGCTGTTTGTTTGTTTGGGTTTGTTTGTTTTACTTAAGAGATTAAGGAGTTTCTCAAAGGACAAAGATTTAACAAACCAGTCCTCAGTCTACACCTAAATTCCAACGAAGTGACTGCCTGCCTAATGCTGAAGCCCAGCTAGCAACATGATATTTGAAGTAATTTAACTCACTGCCGAAGAGGCCAGTGTATTCAAAAAACTAATAGATATGGGAGGCTCCAAGTAATAGCTGGAAGATTAAAGGAACCCAAAAACAATGCTGCTTGTTTCTAAGGAAATCTCAGAAAATACAGTAATGGATGTTTCTGTACCCTAATTATCCACTCTCATACTTCTGCATGGTAGAATTCCTGTTCAAGCTAGAATTTACACACATTTTATTCTCCAATAACCAAAGATTAGTAAATACCATGGAATTACAGCAAACAATAAATGTTGCAGCCCAAGAACTATTGAACCCAACACAAAAATAAGTAAAATTACATTTGGAAGTAACTTTCTTTCACCGTGTAATTCTGAACCTGTTGACATGTGGGTACACGCACAATTTCATTGTCACACAAATTCTGATGGAACAATGTGTTTTGGTGAAATTGTAAGTCTAAGCAGGATGAGGACCTGCATTTGGAGAGCCATCAGTGCAAAACGTAGTGACTTTGACAGCTGAGGACATGACTGTGCTGCTTTTGTGTTATGGAGTGGCCTCTGGCATGGCCTTGGTTCCCCAGACAACTGGTATGTACTGGTTTGTGTCCTTATTTCAAAACAAAGGCTCTGTATGTTAGGTAGGCCACCTGCCTGCTGCTTGGTCATTAGTACCACAGTTAACTTTTAATAACTTTGTGAAGGTAAATCTCAGCTGAGAAATAGTTTATAATGTTCCCATGTGATAAAAGCAAGCAGAAAGTCAGCCTTCCCCTGGACAGCAGGATGAAAACCTATAAATAACAAATAAAGGAAAGCAGGCAGAACTGTGCTGCTTTTCTTCAAGAAGCCAGATTTTCCCCTATTGACCAAATGGCTTACTGCATAGCTAAGTATCAACAAATTTAACATCCTGGTTTCCTCTCATTCATCTTCAGATGTAGTAGGTAGGCACTTTCACAGGGAAGGCAAAGGCCTCTGCTTAAAACTTCTTTCATTTTATTGACTTGGCAGAATGCTTCCTGCTGCAGAAAAAGAGATCTAAAATACAAGTATAGATAGAAAATAAAAGGTCACTAGATGGGGCCTGCAGCAACATGAATCTCTGTATAATCCTGGTTCACTCCAGCTGAAAAAAATTAATCTGAAGCAGACAATAATTTATATGGCTATCTTTCAGCTGTTGAAATCTCCATTATACAGGAGGCAGCCATTTCATAAGAGCCCTCCTAAAAGAATCTGACCTGAAACCAGCACATCTTGAGTCTCTTCAGCCTTAAACCCTCTCCATCCAATACACTTCATGTTGATTTCCAGCAGCCCAAGCCTCTGTAGGTGGCTGCAGTACAGCCCTTAAGGCCCTTCTGGTTTTACAGCATCTCAGATTATGTTTATGGAATCTGGCATAATCCGCTATATCTGACTGCTGGGTTATTGCAGAAGAGGAGTAGTGGCTCACTGTGTGCCATAAACCTTTGCCTGTCAGGGAGGACAGGAGTTTGAATCCTAGCTAATGAATTTATTTCAGGATGAAAACTGGCAGTTGTTATTTCAGTGTGAGCGTAGATAGCTTGGCAAAAATGTTGGGATTTAATTAATTATGTAAATGAGAGGAAGGTAAAGATGTTTGGCCCACTGCTCTGATTATGTAATAGGTATAGAAATAGAAATGGCATGTGCAAGACAGCAAGACATATGACACAAAGATTTACTGTGCGAAGACCTAAAATGCTAATCCTTCCTTTGATGTTTATGTTGCTTAGCTGGAAAGGGAGGAAATGCATTTATTATTCTTTGATGTTGTGAAAGGGAACGGCCTTTATAAGCAATATATAATCCATATTTATATACTCTCCACAGTACTTGGAAACTTTACTCAATATAAGCAGAAGCTATAATAAGAAAAATAAACCAAAATATCAATAAAAAGCAGATGCACACTGTATTTGGATATGAATAAATTATGTGAGTCATAATGGTTGTAACAGCAGGTGGTGGTGTAGTTCAAGACTCTCTGTGATTCTCACTTTTTCCTCATACTCCAAAGAGGAAGGTTTGAGACCCTTAATGCCTGGTGCAATTTTTAGCTCTGCACCTTCAATTGGTGAACAAACTAGAGGCATCTATTGAATTTTATTAGCTCTTTAAAAAACATACAGCAAATGTGTTGGTCATCACTTGAGAGTGCTAAAACCTGCTGCTATGACTAATTTATGAACATCCATCCTATTTGTCCTTTCCTCTTTCTTCCTGTCTCATGCATTCTATTTTAATTAAATCTCAGAATGAGAGTTCACTGGGGCAGAGAATTTCCTTGTTATGTTGTTTTAAAAGTTTTTTTATACAGTGGAGCTCTAATCTGTAATTGGAACCTGATAAAGATTTTGAAATTACCAGTCAACTGCCATTAAACCTGATTACAAAAAAATAAATTGTACAGAAATGTTTCTGGTGAAATTGAACTTCTGTGTGCTTTTCCTTTCTTAATAATAATCAGCAAATTTCAAATCTTTTGCCTTCGAGAACAGAATTTAAAAGTCCAAACTATTTGCAGTATAGTTCTCCTTTACATCACGATCAAGCTCTTACTTTGGAACATGTCAGCATTTCATTTGAATTTTTCCAGAAATTGAACACAAGACCATTAAATATTTAAGCATATATTCAATTATTTTTACTGAGCCATAAACACTCATAATTTTTGACATTGAAACCTTTGGTTGGTCCAGGCAACAAGTATCAAACAAGATCCACACATATAGGAAAAGTGTAGGTTTCTCCGTGTTTCTGTACTGCCTTTCTCTGAACAGAACAGATCCCATTTTAGTGTGAAGTTCATGTTTGTATAAAAGCTACTCTCAACCTCTTTTTATAATTATTGGAAACAATTGCGCTACTACAG